TTGTCATTAAAATATAAATGAAAAAATAAACGAAAAAGAAAATTCATTTCATATTCAAGAAGTGACTCTCAGCTTCTTTCTTTTTATCTCTTATAAATAACACTAACATTATGATACCTAAAATGATTAATGCAATGGTCATACTAATAGCAATCCAGAACATTAAATTTAAGTCTAAGAAATATAATTCTATTGACCATTTTGATGATTTTAATGGTGGATGTGGAATAACTACTAATTGAGAATTTGGAATAATGGATTGGAATTGTTGATGAATGACAGACACGTTCATATTACTTCCAAATTCTACAACTTGAATATAATTTGAAATTCTTCCTAATCCAATATGAGAATAAGGGAATTGAATTGATCGGTGTGTTGTTTGTGAAATTTGAACAGATGCTAATCCAACGTTATTACCATCAGTATTTGTTAATGCTAATTTGAACATTCCACCAAAATAATTGGATCCATATGGTTTTGGAGAGATTGTTTGATACCCACTCCCACAGCTTGAAACACAAACTCCATTTAATCCTACAATTTTAACAAATAATGCATCTGGTTTTAAATTATTACTAATTGCCTTTACTTTTCTTATAGATGTTCCATTACTTTCATCTTTAATATTAAAGAATAAATCCAACATACCTTTATTATCTCCATCAAAGAAAACACCTGATACAGCACCTAAACTAGTTTGTTTAATTGTTTCTTTTTCTGATTCTTCTTCAATTATAGTCTTTCCATTGTCATTCTTTAGAAGCATCATATAATGAGTTTTAGTAGAATTTTGAACTAATACCAATAAATCGGGATATGAATCAATGTTATAATCTCCCATTGAGATAAAACTTAATCCATTTTCTATAACTAATTCAATTCCATTTGGTAGAATATACTCAATAGAATTTCCATCTTCAAATTGATAGTCTTCATCAGCAACACACATTTCATTCTGTGACCTGCATGATGAATCAGATTTTACAAAAGACTTACATACAGTTTTTTGTTTATTGTATTGGATATGAATTCGATTTTTCATTGACCAAAGTAAATCAATATTTCCATCTCTGTCAAAATCATTGACTAAAATATTGTCAATAGTTCCATTTATTTTAACAGTTCTACTTATCGAATAATTCAATACTTTATAATCGCCTGAGTCTTTAGTAGTTTGTGATGTATAAATTTGAATTTCATGTTTTCCTTTATTGTTAACAACAAATAATAAATCAGAACGACAATCCCCATTAATGTCTGCCATAGTAATTGGGAATGTAGCATCATATGTTGGGAATATATACTCATTACTTTCTTCAAAGCTTTTGTCTCCTTTATTCAGCCAAACACTGGTGGTTTTTTTAGAATTTAAACTAATAAGATCAATGTAATTATCTCCATTAACATCAAAAGCAGTAGCCTCTCCATATAATGAAATTGGTTGAGCACATACCAACTTGTCATTAACATGATAACAAAGATATGTTGGATATATATTATTCTTGAACGTTTGAACAACAAGTGATGTTTCTCCATTAAACAAAAAATCACCAGCAATGACATTTATAATAGTCTCATTAAATGTCAATAATGTTTTAAATTCTTCATATTTAATTGTTTTACCTGAAGTATTTTCTTTCATTAACTTAATTGATTTCTTATCTGAACTGACTACAATAATTTCTATTCTATACAATTATTACTTCTTATTACTTTTCTTTATTCAGGATTATATCCTGTTTATGTAAAAGAGCTTATTTAACTCAAACTCTTTTTAATTCAAATCAACAAACTGTCTGTCATCATCATAATCTGCAAATCCAACTATTTCTCCTTCAAATGACCAGTCATTTTCAGCGCAAAAATTCGCTTTACAACTACTTTTCTTTTGGAAAGGTGTCCAAACACTTGCCAAACAACAACCTAAAAAGAAAAGAAAGATTATTTTCATGTTATTCTTCAAGACTTTCGATTATGTTTTTTCAAGATTTCTAAATTATTAGATTATGAAAAGACAATCAGACTTAAACAATACAATAGTGAATCTAAAAGACAATTTGTTTAATACCTTACCTAGCTGAGCAATGCCTACAAACAGCTAAATGAAATTATATATCAGTTCTTTTTCTTCTAAATAATAACACATTTGGTTCAGGTTTAAAAATATCATAATGAACCCATCCAACACTTTGTTGTATTCCTAGTTTCCTCCACTCATCCTCAGTCATTAAATGGTCTTTTATAAGTTTTGCTGCCATTTCATCAGGAAGAATTACATGTCTATCAAATAAGTTTATTCATTGTGTTGTGTGTAAAAAAGCAAACCTATACTCGTATTGGTCATCCTTATATCTGTCAGAGTAGTATGGATCTTTTGACATGATAAGAATGAATCAAAAAATAAAGAGATTT